CCTCGTCTTCTCGGTCCGTACTGTAAGTTATGGTCATCGCTTTTTCCCCATCGATTTATGGCCCGCGCACTTCACGTTTGGGCCATCAATCGATATGGGGGAAAAAACCAGGTCTGTAACTTACAGTACAGCCCTCGAACTCGGTTAGTAAGAGGTATATATCTACATCTTAATATGTACAACACACAACACGACAACAGAACACTAACGAAATTAGAGAGAGAACACACAGCAACCAGAAAAAAGCAGATCAATTGTTCCTGAGATATAAAGAACACATTCTACAAGAACAAGCAATAGTTAACACACCTGACATGGAGCAGGCACTCTTACTGTACCAGGCCAATTGTAATAGAGGTGAGTCAACTTGTAAGCCAACCTGCCAAATGAAAACACCAAGGTTCATTTTATTTCAGGTTTTACGGGGATTGCATTGCAGTCTGTAGCTTTTAGCGCATGGTAAGACAGTTGCATACCTTTGCATGTAGTCAGGTTTGAGCTCTGATTTGTCATGCACAACGATGTAGTGGGTTGGAGTCACTGTGCCCTGACGAACATGTTGGCTGATCAGGTAGAAGTCGTACCTGCAAATACAACACAAAATATCAGTGCTAATAATGGCTCAAATCACTAAACATTTTATAGTAGTTACCACAATAAATATTTTCCACGCGTTTTTTTTCCGTTCTTTAATTTTACTTTGACCATTTTGTTGAAATGTCCCCAAACAGTGCTGGAAATGCATTAGGATCTGGATTCATGACACTTAAATAGAGGTTCTTACTTTTTAATTCTGACAAGAGGTATATTCTTTTTCAACAGAGCATCCTAGATAGGTAGGAGGTGTTCCCTCCAGTACAGGTATCATATTTCTCTATATAGAAGCTATATACAACATTTTTCATTGTTGTCCTAGCATGTAAGGCCAGTTCTGTTCAAGACTTTATTGCTTGTTTAGTGCAAGAATTCAATGGCAAAAATCGCTTAGCACTGTCTTCCAGGATAACGGTAGTTTTTAGAGACGTTTAAAAACTAGAACACTGTTGATGGTGACCTACCAGTCCTTCCTAGTAATAGTATGATCCAGTACTGTACCAGGGCCAGGGTTATCCAGTTTAGGCATTGGGCCACCTCCCTTTGACAATAACAGCATTATTAAGAAGGAATCCACCAGAAGTTTCAGTAACAAGTGGACAAAAAGCTTTGCACCAAGATTAGTTACACTGTATTACAAACTTCTGTGCGACTGCTTTAAATATCTCTTCAAAAGAAATCGTTTCTAACAACACCAATTGCCCAAAACAAATTTTGAAGTGCAAATAAAACACTTGAAGAGGCAATGAAAACAAAATTAAATGGTTGTTCTTATGTACCGGGAAATTTTGTCTTCAACAATTTTAAGAGTCACACACCCAGCACTACTAAACAGCGCATTTTGCTGATCACCAGTGCTCACAGAGAACCCTGGCCAATACAACAAAGAATAAACTGTGATTGTGGTGTATTTTAGATTGGTAGGTTAGCTGCGAAAACGATGACTGACCTGGGATGCAAAGATTCTTGCATTGATTCTCTTTGACACAATAACCACAGCCATCTTGGGCTCATACTTCTCACCAAACAAAGTGAAACACTCTGACAGCTGTTGCACTTCATAACCAGCAACAGTTCTTAGCTGCCCATCACCAACACCATCACGGAACACAATTATACGGTCTGGCAAGGTGTGGTTCACCTAGGTATCAAAAGCAATAATACCGAACATATGTAACCTGTTTCATCAAATGAGATTAAAGTACATTGTAATAATTGTAAAGCTTCACCTGTTGGTGATATGTTAACCTAATAATCAGTGCAGTGCACTTATGGTTTGAGGCTTTGGTTCCAGCTCCTTGTGTCTTGGGCATGGGGCTTTACTCACAGCGCCTCCCTTCACCCAGGAGTTTTTAAAAGCAGGTACAAGCAAATTGTTACAACCTGACAAATTATTATCCTAGAGGCTCGACCTACACACTAGAATTGCATCCAAGGGAAGTAACAATAATCATCACAGAAAACGGAGGAAAGCACTGGGTCCAGTAAGTGACCTAGTTCTTTCAATCCTTTGGGCTACCTGGAATAACCAGACACTAAGCTTAAGAACAAACCTCATGATACTTTCTTAATGAAGCAGTAAGAGCCATTTTAAGTCCATCAATAAGTTCCTGACCAGGTGACTGGAAACACACTCTTGAGTACCAGCGAGTCAGACTCTTGTTCATGCTCGCTACAAATCCACCCACTGACCGGCCACCACGGGATGCATCATGATACACATCAATACCAATCACCATCAAGCTTTTCTGTTGATATATAACACATAACAAATTTAACTATATTGTCAAAACACCCCCTGGATATTTAGGGCAAACCTAATTGACATGGATGTTTTAGCAACCTTTAACAAAGAAAGCAGATTGGCTGAATTCACACCAGAATTTCTGGAACCAACATTTGACAGGTTTTCCCATTTGAGACAAGTTTCCAGTACTAGAGTGAAAACTAACCAGGGCAGGGGTTTCATGGAAAGAACATCCAAATTTAATTGTCTAATTACCCATCTGAGTTGAGGAGTTTTGGTTCCTATTAAACAAGAAACCTATTGACTTTGAATAACAAAATGTTGCCTATGTGGCTTCTTAACCTAACCCAGTGTGAATATCTGACAAAAAAATTAGATGAGTCTTGCATAACAATTTCACACAAGGACATAAAACTTGTCAGACAAGTTATCTGTCCAGACATGTTTCCAGGAGTTTCTTTAAGGGCCAGGCACCGGGCAAATCGACCAGCTGTGAGAGCAATTTTGCCCAGCTGGTTCAACCATCTAGCTGAAAGTTTTTCTTCGGAAAAAGATCAGTTCAAATAGTTTTACCCGCCTGTGAAAACCAGTTGCCCTCCTATTGAAAATCTTAATGAAACCCCTGATGTTTTTCATTATCTAGTGTGAATAAGGCCATTATAAACTAACCAATGGAATGTCCAAAGCCCAGAGTTCTCCACCCAGTTTGCAGTTAATCTGAAGGGCAATCTTCTGAGTCACACTGCGGAGCTTGTTCTGCTGTGAAATTGTCCTGGCATTGATAACCTAGGGTTTGAAAAAGATAATTGAAATACTAAACCTAGCTGGAGATAAAAACCTACAAGACTCAACAGTGGGATTTGCTTTGCCAGGAGGCATGCATTCTAATAATAATACATTCTTTATTTACAAAATAGCTGAAAATTTTAACTTTATCAAAGATCTGATAATCTGACAAAAAACAAAACAACACACACACAAAAACATCACAACCACATTACACATAATTCTGACATTACAAAATGGATAAGAGTGAAGGGGATGTCATGAAATATTTCAAACATTCAGATTTCTACCACTGTAAAAGGATATGGAGAAAAAGAACTGTAGTGGGCATCAATGGATAAAAAGATATGGTAATGAAAGAAAGGTAGTACATGGATAAATGCCAGAAAAACACAAAGATGGCCTTAGATTTGGCCTAAATGACAACAGGAAGGGGTAGTGGGCATGAAATATAAGAGTACAGTGTTACCTGAGATGGAACAGGGCTTTCTACACAACACAGCTTCTTGATGGCAGAGTAACGGTCATCTCGAGAAGTGGGAAAGATAACCACCACTACCTGCGTTTGAGGGTTAAGATGTTCTCTGATGAATCGCAAGTAGGATTCAGTTCTGTCATCCCTGAGTTCAAGCATTGTAGGCTGAAGCACCTGATATTGCAAACAAAATGGTCAGTAACCAGCAAGTTACCTTCCATGACTGAAACTATTAAAAAAGACGGCAGCTGACTTGTCATGCAATTTTACATTTCAGTGTTAAGGTGAATAAAGTATCTGTACTTTAAAGCCAATATAAGTGGCATACTACCTGAATGTGTTGTATTTTATTTTTTGTACTGAGTACTGACTAATCAATACATTCTGACTTTGCCCATGAATATACAGGCACTGGTAAAAAGGTTTTCAGCACAGTATAATTTTACTAGGATTTTTATGAGGCTTGACCAAAAAGCAAGAAAAAGAGGTAGCAACTGGTAAGTTCAAACAAACTATCCAGGGGGGGGAGGGGGGGAAGGGGGAGTTAGGAGTATCATTGTGGAGAAGCTCTTATTTCCAAGGGCATGACTGGAAAGTGAAATAAACACAGCTAAATGACTTGTAATTACTTTACTTGTAGCAGATGGCAGGACACTTACCTCAATACCCATGGCTGGAGTCACCTTATTCATCATGGTAACAAAATCAAGAGCTTTACTCTTGTCTCTGTTCACATACAGCACCAACCAGTTACGAAGAGGAACAGGAGTGATAACTTGCTCCTTGACAGCCTGCTGGCCCCAGTCAGCCTGAGGACTAGACTGAAATGATGTGCTGCCAAGAGTAATCTTCTCCAACGGCAGCTGACGACCTTCAGTCTGGACAAGACACACAAAAATCAGTGACTTCTACAAGTGCATACCTGACACCTAAGTTGTACCCCAAATACCAAATAACTTTGCTGTGCTTTTTACTGACAATGTATATACAGTAGACAACACTCCCAGATCAACTAAATTCTTCATTGCATGCACAGAAGCCTTAGACAGTAACATTCAGAGTTAATCAACTTACTCTGAGCATGGTCTGATCAAGCTGAACTCCCCAAGATGTGAGTTCTTGAAGAGCCTAGTACAGAACAAATGAGCAAAATTGTTGATTATATAATGTGAGTCAAGAAAGTAACTTGTTCATCAATGGGTACAACGGTAGAATCTGTATAAGGTTAGGCCTTCACATGGCTGGAATGATATACAGTGTGCATACAAAGAACTCCTAAGGATGTAATTCTTCTTTGGTAGTAGGAGTCCTCAGTCACTTGTCATATCAGCAAACAGCTGTAGAATTTACCAACAAGCATCATCAAAACAACAACAGCAGATGCACAGCTTTACCTCAGGGCAGGAATTGATGTTATCAATAAATTTCATCATAGCTTGTTGTCTCTGCATTGGGCTTACTCTTGTGTGTGCTGCAATGTCCTACAAAACAACATTATTACATTTACATTTTACATTATTACATTTACATTTTTATGTCAAAAATACTTCTGTAACTTTTTCTTTTTGATGGGATCCCTCAAAGAGGCCATACTGCAAAGTGTACTGAAAACTAATTAGTCTGGTCAGCAATAAGAGGATTACAAACCTTCATAACTCGGAAGTCTTGCCTGATTGTATCTGTAAGTCCTGTGATGTAGCATAGTTCAGGTATCAAGCAAACCAATCCTGGCTTTTTACCCTAACAGGCAACAAATAGATAAGAGCTTTCGCTTAAAAAGCAAAAAGTAGCTACAGCCAGATGCAAAAGTAGACAAGACNCCCCCCTTTTCAATGTTGCTAGCTAAGAAATATCATGTACAAAACTTAGATGAACATCACTGAACCGAGGAGAAGGGGGTGGGGTGGTCATTTGCAATCCATTTAAGTAGCTTAAGACACTTTTTGCACAAAGTGTATCAACATTTTTTTGACTGGTTGTAGTATACCAGTACTGCTTTTTTTTTTGTCATGGTCACCTGCAGGTCATGGGTCTTGAAAAAAGACATCGCAAACAAAACCAGGGCTCAAAATTAAAAAAATCCTTAAGTCACCATTTGGCGACTAAGTAGTAAAAAATGGACGCCAAATGCAAATTTTCAGTCACCAGATCATAAAATCAAATCACCAGTCCGCAGACATACATGACATACTCAATGCTCAAGGGTTTGCAATGCATTATAGGGTGATTTCAGACATGGGCAGCCCATTTCAAAGTTTTCCAATGTGAGAGGATCATCTACAGTCTTTACAGCAAAGCAAAAGGATGGATTGACTCCATGCATGCATTATTTAATGTGCCCTAAAAATAAAGAAGCTGCTGAATCCAGTTGGAGACTGACGAATCCCACGTTTGTTTTGTTATATCTGTTTGCATAAATCTACAAGTATTAAAGTCGTTTTCCTTTGAAGTTAAGAGGTTGATGAAAGGAAAGATGAGTCATCCACTGGCAATTAGTTCTGAATATTTGGTCGCCAACACTTGATTTTTGGAACTGCATTGGCCACCAGTGAGTTACAATTTTTGAGCCCTGAAAACCCCATCCTGTCAACTGGTGAAAAACCAAACATGACAGGGGTTTCAATAATAGCCAGGTAGCGGGTAGATCTACCCGCTTGAAATGAGCGGACTACCCACCTGTAACCGTCCCGGGTAGCCGTACACAAATAACTAAGACCAGATAATTTCCTCGCAGCTAAGCATTTTCTTCAAAAAATTTGGCAAAATAAGTCTTATGTTATAGGTAAAGAAAAAGAAAGGTACAAAGAAATTTCTAGTGTTAACCCAGCCTTTTCGACCATGAAAGATGAAGGAAAGTGTAACCTAACACGCGAGAACAATCACTTCAATATGAAGTGAAAAAATATGCCAGGCACTTCAGCTGAAATTGAGAGGAAACTGGGACTAAGCATGAATAATAATGGCTGCCTAAAGGCAATCGTTATTGGCATATTTTGCTCCAGCATTAAAACGAAAGAGGTCGAAGAAGAAGGATTCTTCGCAAGGTTAGTTGAGTATATTGAGAGGGACATATTTAGGTGTTTAAACTTGAATGTTATGCTTCTTTCCATGGTGAAATATGATGTATCGTTCATGAATTGATTTGAATACGAAGAATTAAAATACCACATGTTAGGAACATCTAGGAACAACAAAGCAACAGAAAAATAGGCCTCAAAGCACAGGAAAATGCATCTGTGCGAGTCTAGAATTTCAATATTTCCTGTGAGAGCATGCCCTCCGGGCCTTCCAAGAAACTACCTGCCTGTTTTTCTAAATTACCCTCTTGTGCCAAAAATTATTGAAAGCCCTGAATAAGGAACTCATGAATGCACCTCTCCTCCAAATGTCTGGATACGAAAGTTCTTCAATTCAGTGACTGCAACCATCCATTTCATTAAGAACTGTGCCGTCTGTTAAGGCCCTTTCACTGAGTTCTTGATGACAATTACCCTGGGAAACTAAATCTCCATTTGAATTTTGACTTAACCCATTGACTCCTGGAGCTTTTTGCCAAAAACGCTTTTTTTGGACATTTTGGAGATTTTCAGGCTGGATATGGGCCAAATTAGCTCCAATCTACTCAACAAGGCATTTGCAATGTGACAGCATGCCTTTCTTTCCACTAACAACGCATTTTATGACATTTTTGCTCA